AGAATGACTTTGGAACATAGTTCCATTTGAAATCAGAAAAACACAGCATAAATTAACTGTGTTCTGTGTTGCCTTTGTAGTCCTGTGGGTGGGTCAGTCATCTGCTAGCCCACAAAGATTGGAATTCTTGAAAGCCAGCAGTCTCAGTTGTGTTGTCACTAGAGATTCAGAAATTTATCTCTAGAATGGATTGACAAGATTTTGAAAGTTCAGTAGAGATACTAAAAGGATGTATTAAGTATATAAAACATATATAAATGTATACACACATTCACTACACATTAAATAAATAGAGTACATTTAAATAGGAAGTAGCATTTTAGAAGTAATGTTTTGAGCTCTGTGGTATTTATGAAGAAAAGGATACATTCTACTCAACTAAGGGTATGTTTTATTTAGAATCCCATAGTGCCTTAAAGCAGACAGTTGGTAGATATTTGTTCTGTTCTTCTAGACATGCTACCTTGCATATTGTAGGCACTTTGAAAAGTGTTTGCTGAATCAATTCAAGATTCATTCAGAAATATTTATTGAACATTTGTTATGTGCCATGCACTGTTTTAGGGCTGGATTGAACAATATCTTATGACAATTTTGTGTATAGTGCAAGTTTTTGGAATGTGGCAGTTCTTAACAAAGCGCAACTGCTTTTCTCATAGCTTTGTGTTCAGTAGTCTCTCGTTTGATTAATAATGATTTAATGTTTGATAGGGATACTGCTGATAGACCGTGTGATATAACACAAGAAAATTTCCGCTTTCAAACTTGAATTCTGAAATAAACATAAGCCTCTATAACTACACCAAAACATACTTTTATTTTAGCAACTATGTCTTTAGAATTGATGTATGGAGTGGGTGCATGGAAAAAGTGGTAGTGGTGAAGAATTGAAGATTAGTAGTCGTAACCGGGACTGGCTTCCAGTAGGAGGCCAGGCCAGTAGGAGGCCAGGAACATAGCAGTACAGGTCCTCAATCAATTTTTACTATTTCAAAAGGCTTGGCAAACTCTACGCTAGTTAGGCAGATAACACAATATTGACACACCAAGAGGTCAAATTGCTTTGCTACTGGCTAGAATTATACTAATTTAGTATAGTTAACATTGGTTAATCTTATGCTGGTTAGAAGTTCTGATTGTTGGCTATGTCTTTTATTAAAGATTATTACAGATTACTGCATGTATATAGGTTCTTTCAAATCAGGCAGTCCACTGTGGCCCAAAAAATAAAAGGAATCTTTGGGTAAAATTAGTTTTCCTTCAGTAGTAGGCAGAAGTAAGGGTAACAAAAAAGTAGCAAAAGTAGAAAGAATTAGGTAGCTTGAAAGAAGGCAATAAGATGATATCTGTTCAAATATCATTGGCTTTCCACTAGATCAGAGAGTCTATAGGACCATATTTTCTGATTTCAGCTTGAACTCTGACACTTTAAATGAATAAGTAGCTGCCATTACCTTTTTGCTTGTTTGTTTACATGGATAATCAGGTATAATTTAGGAAAATTATTGTAGTTTCAAAAAAATAATTTGAATTTAAGTCTTTGCTAGTACATTAGTAAATCATGTATTTATTGAACACTTCCTACTCACCAGCCCTTAAACAGCAAGATAATAAAGTCAAATAAATTTCATCAGTCTTCTATATCTTAACCACTCAGAAATTTTAGTGGCCGGCCGGCCTGCCTTCCTTTCTTCCTTCCTTTCTTCCTTCCTTTCTTCCTTTCCTTTCCTTCCTTCCTTTCTTCTTTCCTTTCTTCCTTCCTTCCTTCCTTCCATTTTTCCTTCTTTTCTTCCTTTCTTCTTTCTTTTTGCATTTGTTCAACAACTCTTCAGATTGACTTTGATCTGGATTCAACCCTACCCATGAGGGTGCCGTGGTTCAGTCAAGTGGTGGTTTTCAACAGGGGACTGTACTGCCTGTTAAAACAGGGAGCATTTGGAAACATACAGGGTATTTTCAGGTTTCCCAATGATGATACAATGGGGTAAGGGCTGCTCCTGGCATTTAGTGGATGGGGACCAGGAATACTAAACCATCCTGCAATGTATAGGCTATACATGGAAGAATTGTCTTCCCCAGAATGCCAAAAGCACCTGTTGAGAAGCCTTGTAAGAGGAAAGAGTGGGGGTATTAGGATTAGAAAAATCTGGATCCAAACCTCAGCTCTATCCTCTGTAAAATAGGGGTGTCAATATGATAATACTTCTCTGTAAGTAGGTAGATGAGATCACGTTTGTAAAGTGTTATGGCTTCTAGGTTTCCAAAAATGGTAGCTGCTATTAAATATTATTTTGTTTTCTGTCTCAGTACTCTTGGATTCTTGGTAGGTTTTATTTCTGCCTTTAAACATTCTCACTTCTCATGCTGTTTCCATTCAAAATTAAGAAAATCAGCTCTGGCTGGTGTCGCTCAGTGGATTGAGCGCTGACCTGCAGAACAAAGAGTTGCCAGTTCGGTTCCTGTTCAGGAAACATCCCTGGGTTGTGGGCCAAGTTCCTGGTCGGGGTGTGCAAGAGGCAGCTGATTGATGTTCCTCTCACCTGTTGATGTCTCACTCCCCCTCTCTCTGTCCCTCCTTTTCCCCTCTCTCTAAAAATAAATGAATAAATAAATCTAAAAAAAGGGTGGGCAGAAAGAGTAATGGAGGAAAATGGGGAACAACTGTAACCGAACAACTATTAAAAAATTAAAAAGATATAAAATTAACAAAATCAAAGTTGCTGAAAAAAGCACAGGAGAAAGGGAGGGGTAGGGTGCTGCTATTCCTCCATAGGTTTAAGTGATATTTTAAAAACAGCCTTGTAGGGTTATGTCAGATGGTTAACACTAAAGGTGGAAATGTCACTTGTTTCAGCTTCCAATGTGATTCAGAAGGGCAGTTCTCTGGGTTGTGAATGGCAGACCCCAGTTATCTCGGAGGCCTTTCGGAGCCGCTTCAGTCGCTGTTCAAGTGTTACTGACAGTGGGGACACAGCCATTGGCACATCGTGCTCAGACATGGCAGAAGGTAAGTTTGTATTAATGATTTGATTACCAATATATGTTGTTATTTTCAGATTCTGTTTCAGGTGTGTTGTCATTTCCAGAATATTCATAAGTCAGAACACTTAGAAAAGAGTCTGCTTGAATCTTCTTACCCATTGCATCTCACAGCTTGTTTCTTCCTCTCAATTTCTGCTGTTTGTCCTGTCTCAAACAACTTTTTAATCTTTCCCTCTACTGCCAGATTAATCTTTCTGAAAGCTTGATTTCATACTTTTCCTTTTCTGCAGTCCTCAATTGTTTCCATTATTTGCAGGATAAAATTCAGAGGCCTCAGTTCTTCTGTGATCTGCCCCTGTTCCCCCTATTTAAGCGTTATTTCTTACTGTCACCAGGTTTCTTGTCTTACTATGCTATGAAAGTGTGGAATTTTTTTTTTTTTAATACCTGGGCTTCTTAATCTGGGCCCATTTGTGGTATTCCCACCTCCTCTTGTCCCTCTTATGCTGTTCTTATTTTTCAAGGCTAGTAAAGTGCCTGACAAGACTTTTCCCATCCCTCCACCCATTACTGATCTTCCTCTTTACAACCTTACATCTTTCTTGTTTCTGCCACTTGTTTTAGCACTTAAATTAATAACTGCCAGCAGTACCTTTTGTTTTTTGTTTAGATGGTATTTTGTTTTTCATTTAGAGGTGAGTTCCTCAAGGGCAGAGGACCTAATGATAATAAGTAATGACTATTTATTAAATAACTTTGTAGGGGCTACTGTACTAAATTTAAAAAATATTTTTTCATTAATGCCTTTAAGAACCCTATGAAATATTTTTATTTTCATTTAACAGATGAGATCACTGAATTTCAAAGGATTTGTTTTTTTTTAAGATTTTATTTATTTTCAGAGAGAGGAGAAGGGAGGGAGAAAAACATTGATGTGAGAGAGAAACATTAATAGGTTGCCTCTCGCCCACCCACACTGGGTACCTGGCCTGTATCCTCGGCATGTGCCCTCACTGGAAATCAAATCGGTGACTTTTTGGTTCACAGGCCAGCATTCAATCCACTGAGCCACACCAACCAGGGCTCAAAATGTTTTATAAAAATTATTTTTTAAGATTTTATTTATTTTTAGAGAGAGGGGAGGGAGGGCGAGAAACATTGATTGGTTGCCTCTCATATTACACCCTGACTGGGGACTGGGCACTGGGGACTAAACCCACAATCTAGGCATGTGCCTTGACCACAAATCGAACTGGTGACCTTTCACTTTGGGGAATGATGCCCAACCAACTGAGCCACACCAGTCAGGGCTCAAAAAGTGTTTTAAATTAATTGATTAAAATCAAAAAACCAGTTTACTTTGATACTTTAACAGATGTGAAACTGGCTAGATCGCTGTCATCAAAAAAATAAGTGTTGGTGAGAATATAGAGAAATTTGGACCTTTATACATTGTTGGTGGGAGTGTAAAATATTACAGCAGCTTTAGAAAGCAATTTGGCAGTTTCTCAAAAGGTTAAACATGGAGTTAGTTACTTTGTGATTCAACAGTTATACTCCTAGGTATATACACACAAATGCTCATGGTAGCATTATTTATAGTAGCCAAAAAATGGCAACAACCCAAATAGCTATTAAATGATAAATGGGCCCTGGCTGGTATGGCTCAGTGGATTGAGCACTGGCCTGCAAACCGAAGGGTCACTGGTTTGATTCACAGGTAGTGCACATGCCTCGGTTGCAGGTCAGGTCCCGGTTGGGGGCGTGCGAGAGGCAACCAATTAATGTCTCTCACACATTGATGTTTCTCTCCCTCTCTTTCTCTATTCCTTCCCTTCTCTCTTTAAATAAATAAAGTCTTTAAAAAAAATAAATGATAGATAAATGGTAGTAAAATGTAAATAGCGTATTCATAGGATAGAATGTTATTTGGCAATAAAAAGAAATGAAGTACTGATACATGCTACAAAATGGATGAACTTTGAAAACATTTACACTGTTAAAAAAGCCAGACACTCATATTTACCTGGCAGGGGAGACACCATGATCAGGAATGTGGTTTTTTTCAGACTGAGGCTTACCCATTGCACTCCAGATGTGTTGACGCCTGTGATTAACCCAAATGTGGGAAACTCAACTGCATGATGTTTTTAAAAAGATTTTATTTATTTATTTTTAGAGAGAGGGGAAGGGAAGGACTGGGAGAGGGAGAGAAACATTGATGTGTGAGAGAAACATCAATTCGGTTTCTTCTCACATGCCCCACCATGCCTCTGGCCTGAAATCCAGACATGTGCCCTAACTGGGAATCGAACTGGTGGCCTCTCAGTTTGTGGGATGATGCTTACAGTGAGCTACACCAGTCAGAGCTGTTGCACATTCTTTTTATTTAAAGATCTTATTTATTTATTTTTAGAGAGACGGGAAGGAGGAGGAGAGAAACATCGATGTGTGAGAGACACATCAGTAGTTGCCTTTTGATTTGCAGGGGGGCACTCAATCCACTGAGCTGTAATACGTTCTTTTTAAATTGCAGTAGCCTTGATGTAGTGGTCAAAGCCATTGGTCTAGAAGTTTTTTTAAAGCATCCAAGATTTTTTTTTCTGCCATGTTTGTTATATACTGTGGTCCTTAATTTTAATTTTTGCTCATTTCATTCATGAATATAGCTTGATTTATTTGGAGCACAGTTGACAAGAACCATTATAACTGGTATAAAATATAATTCATTGTTTCATCTGTAAATTGAACAGGATTGCTTTTGATTCCATTCCACTAAGGTGTTTTACCTTGAAGATTCACAAGGGACCGTGTAGAGGTAGATACTAGAGAGCTCAGCAAGCTTTCAGCTCTTTGCTAAAGATTGAAATAGTCACTGGCTTAATTCAGACTTCATACTTTATAAGCTAGTAAGGGATGTAGGCAGAGGGATCAAGGTTTAATAATAGCTGAATCTATCCCTTACCAGAAAAGGAAGGTTGCTAAAAAGATGAGTTTTGGGTTTGGGGGAGTTAGGGGATGGAGGATGGGGTGGAGGATGTTAGTTGTTTGTTGGTTGAAGAGAAGAGAGATTTAGAAATATATCTTTAAAGTGGTAAAAACCCAATGATTTCGGGGACTGCAGACTTGTCTACATAAAAATGACATATCCCTAAATTTTGAAAGCCTTTGAAAATTGTGCAAGATAGTGACCCCTTGGAAAATAAGTGTTGCTATTTTGTTTCAGAATGTTCTCAACCACCAATAAGACATAAGGTATAACTTGACTTTTACATCAGTTTGTCAGAATCAGACAGTTTCCTTAATATAATTAAACCCAATAGACAAGTGACAAATGCTGACAAAGATTTCACTTTCTTCCGCCATCCATAGTGGGACCACACTCACTTGAAAATTAGAAAAATGGTATTCTCTTGGGTCAGTTTTTTGGCATTACTACTTTGGGTGTTACGGGATCAAAACTGAATTTGGTGAGTCTTAAGAGAGAGTGGTACTGTGGATAGAGAATGGAAGGAGGTGTTACTAACTTCAACATAGTAGCAAACCCTTGTATGCCTAATCTCACTGTCTTCTGTTCCAAAATTATATTTTGGGAGCAGGCACCGTTGGTGAGAGTGGATACTATGGTGCCATTATGGAGGATTTTCAATTGAGAATTTACTGGTATTGGAAGTCTTCATCATCACCAGTCTACTTGTTGACTAATTCTATATTTAAATTGTGGGACATCAGAAACATCCTTTGACTCTGAAATTTCTTTCTTGGCCCTGAGAGGCTGACACATGTTATCAGAAATTACTGTTTTTTCGTTTTGTTTGCTTGTTTTTAGTATGGCCTTTTATCCCCAAGATACCTTTAGTGTAGGAAATTACATACTCTGCATACATTATAAGGGATAAAAATACAGACCCATATGAGAAGATGGTAGCTCATCCATACTGATTTAATTCTAGGAAAGGTTATAGCATCTCTCTTCATTAGCTGAGTGTGTTCTGTGTTGGTTGATGGACAGAAAAACGTGAAACAGATTGATAGTCCACTCTTTTCATGGTAGATGCGCTTGGTTTGGAAAAGAATACTGGAAATACTTGAAAAGGGAAGACACTTACATTCTTTGTCCCCTTACTCAGTTTTCTGCATGTTGAAGGTAGCAGGTATGTTTTCTTGTTTGTTTGCAGCCCACTACCCTGACATGTTAGTTCTGTGACCTTGTAGTCTTCTTCAGAGTAGCATTTCTTATTTATTTATTTATTTTTAGAGAGAGAAGGGAGGGAGAGAAATATCGATCGGCTGCCTCTCGCATGCTCCCAACTGGGGACTTGGCCTGCAATGCAGGCATGTGCCCTCACTGGGAATCAAATGAGCAACCTTTCGGTTCACAGGCCAGCGTTCAGTCCACTGATCTGCACTGGCTAGGGCTTCTTCAGAGTAGCACTTTAAAGTTGGATATATGTAGAAATGAGAACCTTCTGCAGCAGGGCTAATGAGAGTTGTCTCCAAGACAACTAAAAGGAGCTAAAGGAAACATAAGTCTAGAATGAAGGAAAAGGGGGGAAAAATCACAGCAGGGAAACAAAAAAAGAGGTAAGTGAAAGGCAAAATATAAAATAGAGGATTTCAGTGTGTACCCACTTGAGAGTGCTCTCTGTGCTAGAGTGAAACCTGAGCGTTACTAAGAATAACTTCACATTTCCAGGCAGTCAATTCTGGAGTGTGGGAGAGAGAACAGTATCCTGATTCAGATGCTATTCTCCCTGCCCTGGATACAGAGCAGCACTATCCAGTTCACCTTATTCTTCAGATAGAGTCATTGCTCACCTTCACTGGGGAGTTTTGGAGGTCACAGAGGATTCTTGAAGCCCTTGGAAAGGATAATTTTATTAGATTGGATTATAACTTAAAGGTACCCAGCTTCCAGAAGAGTAGGACCTAATCCATTTCCCTTAAGTAAGTGATTTTTTTTTAAGTTCAGTTTTCTGTTTTGTTTGTTGACTGGAAAGATTTTTTTATTCAAATGCAAGGGACAGAGTGTAAGTTAAAAGGGAAGCCAGTGTTGCCTTTTGTTGGTTTATCTTGTGAATGACATTTGAAACCTTAGAACACATATCTCCCAGTTAGGCTGTTGTGTCTTTCTGCCTGATATTTATGATGATAGTGCCCTCTCTTCCTGGTCTCAGGATAGGCAGAGGACATCTGACATAGCAGCTAAACTCAAGAAAGCTTGCTGCTTCAATTTTGACTTATGGAAGACTGTTTTCTCCACAGATTTTTGCAGCTCAAATAGCAGCCCTTCTTTCCAGCCCATCAAAAGCCATGTAACCATTCCAACAGCCCATGTGATGCCTTCTACTTTGGGGACCTCTCCTGCCAAGCCAAATTCTACACCTGCCGGGCCCTCTTCCTCTAAAATCCCTTTGTCAGGGTTGTCTGAAAGTGTGGGGATGACAAGAAATGGAGACCTTGGTGCAATGAAACGTTCTTCAGGCCTATCTAGAGACTTCATGTATCTTTGTGGTGCTGCTGGAGAAAATGGAATTGAGCAGTCTTGGTTTCCAGCAGTGGGCCATGAAAGAGAAGAAGAAATGAAGAAGTTTGATATTCCCAATATGGAGTCTACCTTCAATCAGTCGGCAATGATGGAGACACTTTATTCAGATCCTCGCTACAGAGCCCACTTCCACAACTTAAGAACTGACCCAAACAAGGAGTTATACAAAGTGTTGCCCGACACCAAGAAGGCACCAGGCAGTGGAATAGTATGTGAGCGGAATGGATTACACCCTAGCAGCAGTGGGTTGCTCCCTTTGGGACTCCAGCCTGCTCCTGGGCTCTCCAAGCCACTACCCTCTCAGGTGTGGCAGCCAAATTCTGACCCTTGGCATCCCCGTGAGCGATCTTGTGAGCTCAGCACTTGTCGGCAGCATCTGGAATTGATTCGTTTACAAATGGAGCAAATGCAGGTAGAAGCCCTTCTTTCTTTGGATTTTGCAGGTTCTGTGCAGATCTTTGAACTGCGTAGGTTTTGTCCTGTAAGTTTTGACTCTAAAGAAAACATTTGTAAGAAAGAGGGAAGATGTTTGTAGATAGGAAATGAAGGCTTATGAATCGCATCGAATCTGTTGGTGGTCTAATTAAACACCAAATGGGTTCTCTAAAGTAGAGAGTTATAAAGGAAAACCCAAAAAAGTCACCAGACTAGGTACTTTTACATACAAAATCTTATTTAATCCTTATAGCACCCTGATGAGGTATATGTAGAAATTTACCAGGTTCTTAGAAAAAGTAGCCTTTCCAGAGTCACAAAACTGGTTAAGTGACAGAGCTAGGGTTTAAAAACTGTCTTTGAACTGCTATGCTTTTCCCACTATATACCACTTCTGTGTTAAAAAAAAAAGTCCTACTGCTGCTTAAGAGTGGGAAGGAAAGGAGCTGGACATATTCTTTTTTCTTGGTTGTTAAGAGGACATCTCAGCTCTTGGTTTGCCTTTGTTGCCAGATAAGGAAAGATAACTGACCTTTTCTTAGAAACTAGAGCCTTTCTGAGCAGTGTCCAGTTGGCAGAAGTCTCCCTGGCAGGTTCTTTCCAGTCATGCATCAGAGCTAAAATTATTTCATAAACACCGGGTCTTCTTAGACTGAGCCAAAGTGAGCCTTGACTACCGACCCAGCCAGGTACTGCGCAGGTGTTTTCAGGTGCCTTTGGGTCAAGATCAAGCCCCTTCAGACCTGCTTGTCTTTCAGCTTCAGAATGGAACCACCTGCCACCATCCCGCTGCTTTTGCTTCTTCACTGCCCACATTAGAACCAGCACAGTGGATCAGCATCTTGAACAGTAATGAACACCTTCTAAAGGAAAAGGAGCTCCTCATTGACAAGTAAGAGAGCAAAGGGTACCACAGGGCCAGCTCCCGTTCTCCCAGCCCCTAATGAAGTCTCCTCAAGGGTAGTACATCCTCCTCTGTTTAGGCCTGCTCCTTGCTTCATGGTAGAGCTAGGTTGATGAGCAGCCTAGTCATGTATCTGACTAATATGTTAGACCAGTTGTGTATCTCCATGGGCCCTGGGTAGTGTCTAAAGGGGGCAGATAGTTCTTTGCAGTTGATCTTTCCTCATTCCCCCTCAGTCAGCTATCTCATTTGTTCCTCCTCCAGCAAAAAAGTACAGCCCAGAATCCAAAG